ACACTGAACACACACTGTACAAACTGAACACACACTGAACACACACTGAACACACTGAGCGCAGTAGATCCATGGCGGAGCATAGATGATGGTACTGATACTTACTGTGTTGTGTTTAATCTCAGGTGAACTACACTCAGCCGCTGGTGGCCGTGAAGTTTCTGAACGCCTCTCTGAACACGGACATCAATGTGGAGTGTAAAATCAACTCCAACACTCTGGCTGAAGGCAGCGAGAGAGACAAGTTCGCTGGACGGGTGTCCTTCAAACTACGAATCAACGACAAATAGACACACACACACACACACACTCACTCACTCATTCACACACACACACACACTCACTCACTCACTCACTCACACACTCACTCACTCATTCACACACACACACACACTGACTCACTCAAACACACACACACACTCACTCATTCACACACACACACACACACACGTTGAAGCTGCAGTAATCCTGTGTTTCCGTCCTCAATCTGTCCTTTAACGTAGAATCATGTCATGATGTGTTCACTGACCCTCTGAATTGCCAGCTTTAGTTACAGTCTGTTTATTGTGTTTGGTATTTCCTCTGAGCCTCAGTGCAGCTTTAACTCTGACCCTGAAACCGACCAATCAGCACGCACACACGCTCTGATGTCACTGCCACTGAGGAAGGAATGAAGAACGACAGACGATCACACGATGGATGAAGCTAAGACCAGGTTATTGATCGCACAGCACTGTTTACTGATGGACGGTTTATGTGTTCTTTTCATTTATTTATTACTTGTTTATTTATTTATTTATTTATTTATTGATTTGGTTATTGATGATGACTCTTTGTTTTTAGTGATGTTTAAATCAGACAGCTCAAAGTCAGCTGAGTTTAGATTACAGGTACGATGGGCTCTGATTGGCTGTTCAGACACTGACTTACAGGTCCCTGCACATCCTGGAGAACCTGGAGAAACCTGGAAAACCTGGTGTTGTTAATCAGCTCAGCAACTAAAGTCCAACTTAGATAGAAACCAGTTCAGAAACCAGTTCACCAAGGCAGTCTCTCTGCAAGCTCCACTTCATAGCTGTTCTGGAGCTTTCATTCATATCAGAAACCAGTCCTGGTTCAGAT